AATCTGACCTCTTCCAGGAACAGAAGACAGCCAGTTACTGTTTTTTGTTTTGTTTTGTTTTGTTTTAAACACACACGTTCATGGTTTGGAGCAGGACCCTAAGCCTAGATACAGTGATTTTGGCATTAATTAACTATGTATAACCAGACAAGACCACGTGGCTTTGGAGGGGTCTCCTCTTGCTACCGTCCCAGGAAATGCAGCCCTTTTGCCCACAGCTGCCCAGGATGAGCCCTCTTCCTTGTTTCCTTCAGCACCAAAATGTAAATTTTCCATACTGCTGCCTGTAACTAATAAAAACCGTCTACCTTGCACTATTAAACAGTCGAATCTGACTACATGCCAGGTTTATTGGTAGCGACTGTACCAAATTAAAATACCTACGTGGGGACATTAACACGTGCGCCCATTGTTATTGGGAGCTGTAAGCTGCATTTCACATTTAGGGCTCCTTAGTTTGGAAAAGCCTTTTTTCCTTTGCTTAGGTTAAAAGTTACTTTATCTTTAAAGTTGCCACCAAAATCTAGGAAGTAAACACGGTTCACGTTTGGCGGTAGGGTGTGGCAGCCAGCCGCTGCCTGTGAAGGTGGGCAGGTTTGGCTCAGACTGCCCGGCTTGAGACCCGGGCCTAGCAGGGGCCGGATGTTGCGCCCTAGGATGAGGAGGGGTGCTCAGGTGTATCCTTCCCCTGTGGCACCTCTGCGCCTGGCCCCTGCTGCTTTCTCTGAGCTGGCAGGGAAGACAGTGGTCCAGCATTCAGAGAGGAACGTGCCTGGAAAGCCCCGGCACTTGTAACAGTTACCCAGGCCAGGAAGTAGTTGTGGATCCTGCCCCGTGTGTGCACTGAAATTATTAAAAACAAAAACAGCCAGCATGCTCCTGTTTTTTGCCTCCCCCCTACAGCGTGTGAACCGTTTAGAGCAGGTCCGGGCAGGCCCCTCGTTTTCAGCCGTGTTTTCCGTGGAGGCTGCTACCCGGCAGATGCCCTGTGCCCGCCTGGCTTCGCGGCTGGTCTCCAAGGCCCAGGCGTTCACCAGACACTGTTGTGCCCGGGCTTTCTAGGTCGCAGGCCGGGCGGCGAGGGGGCGCTGTGGCCCGCGCCTGCCGGCCGAGGCCAGCCAGAGCGAGTAGCCCAGATCCGACCGCCTGGCTGACGCCCCTGCCGGTGGCCGACCTGCCACCTTCCGAGTCGGTTTCATTCCGGAATAAGCAAACAACGCGAGGCGTTTCAGTAAAAAGCAGAGCCGCTCAAGACCCTTTCTCGTTTTCTTGCAGCTCTGGCTTTCAGGAGTTTGATGCTAACATAGCTGCGCTGTGTGTGCAGGGCCTTTTCTCCCCCACCCCTTTTTTTTGCAACTAAAGTGAATTGCTTTTTTTTTTTTTTTTAACGGGCTCACTTTAATGTGTGTGTGGGTTAAATATAAGTGATTTCAGCATATCAAATCATTCACACGCAGGACGGCCTGGCGTGTGCGTGCCAGGCAGAGGCACCGAGAACTGAAAGGGGTGAAGTAGGGCTTTTTTTCAAACTGAATGTCTTCGAAATTGCACCAAATTTAATTCCAGATGCAAAGCCCACCTCTCCCCCGGGCTGATTTGGGTTGCATTCGGTATTTACAGCCCAGGCGCTTTCCGGAAAGGCGCGGGCCGGACAGTCCTGGCGAGGGGTCCCTCCGCCCGCGTCCTAGAGCCTGCAGTTGGGCCCCACGGAGGCTGTCAGTCGGCCGGAGTCCACCCTGCAGGGCTGCGGCTCCGGTGAGCGCGGACTCGGGCTCTTCCTCTCCTGAAGGCTGCGGGTTCGGGACCGGCCCCTGTCTCCTCTCTCCCGGTTCCTCCTCGCCCGCTCGGCTCCCGGGTTTTCCCCCGGTGATCCGCCGAAGTCCCGCTTTCCGGCAGAGGCCCCTCGGGTGACGCCTCTGAAGTTGCCCCCGGCGCCGGCTGGGACGGCCCCTCGGCTCTCCGCTTCGGCTCCCCGGCGCTGCCCTCCGCCCCTCTCGGGATGCCGCTTCTGCCCGGCTCTCCCGGCTGCGATCTGCCGCCCCGAGCCCCGCTGCTCCGGGCGAGGCGCCCACCGGGCTGCCGCGAGGTCCCTGCGCTGCCGGGGCTCGGGGACGTCTCGCCAGGAGGGAGCGCAGCGCGCGGCCCCGGACCCCGGAGAGCTGCGGAGGCGCCGGGAAGCGGTGAGCTGGAGCAGACCCGGCTCAGGGGCAGCAAAGAGCCGGCCGCGTGGCCCTGCACCCCGGCTCCCCGGGGTCCGGCGGGAGCTGCAGCGGGAGCAAGCCAGTTCCTCGGCCACCGGGTGCCAGCCGGCGGCCTGCGAGGACCCCGCCCTGTGCTCCGTCTGCTCCGGGTCCTGCAGTGCGGATCGAGGATCCGGACAGCACCTCTGCACCCGCTGTGCGGACGAGCCGGGACGGGCGCCCGGCAGCGGTGGTGCGCAGCTGGGAACCGGCCTGAGCCGGGACGCGACTTCGCCGGCAGGAACGGGCTTCTGGAAGACCACCGGATCCTCTGGGCACTTCCAGTTGCTTCTCCAAGCAGTTCAGACCTGAAGCGTGCTCGTGGGGCCGCGCTTAAAATCCACGTGCCATCTCTCCTTTCGAGTCCCCAGACTAGTCCGGACCTGAGCTGAATGGCCTGTGGCTAGGAACATATTCACTCCCTTCCACAATCGCCCCAACACCTAACATACCTGGGATTGCATGTGCAAGGGGGGGGGGAGAGAGAGAGAGAGAGAGAGAGAGAGAGAGAGAGAGAGAGAGAACTTGGCAGTGAATGCAGACATTTGTAAAGAAAACAGATAAATCTACATTAAAAGTTAAAAATACCCCAACTCAAGCTGAGGAACCCAACCGTTGGCGGGAGGTGGTGAGTCAGCTTTCTTTAAGGCTGTGATTCTGGGTAGCTAATCAGACTCCAGTGGATGGACTCCTGCCAAAGGGCATTTATGTGGACACAAATTAGACACTAGAGATAGGAGAGTGAGAGAGAGAGCGAGAGAGAGAGAGAGAGAGAGAGAGAGAGAGAGGAGAGAAGAGAGAAGAGAGAGAAAGAATGAGAATTAAAATTAGAACCCCAACCTGGAGACCAGACATTGGAGCACACTGAAGACACACAGGTGTTCAGAGTCAGGAAATCTGGAAGAAACTTTAAGAGTCAGGAGCAGACCTCCACACCAGGCATAATTGCAAACTGCTGGATCCTCTGTGCTGGGGGAAACTCCAGAAAACCAGAACTCAGGGATGCCTGTCACACAAAGGGCAGGGCCCTGAGCCAGGCCCAGCAGTAGACATGGTGGTATCTGGGCTGTGTCTGCACAAATTGACTCAAAGAAATTAGGGGGATATTTGGTGGCACCTGAAGGAGATACCTTCCACCCAGTGACCCTTCATCTGAGTGCCCACTGTCTCAGAAATATCAGGCAGGTGCTGGAGAGCCTAAGACATCCAGATTCCAGACCGGACTGACAGGACCAGAAACCTCCCAGAGACCCCCCCAGGACCAGTTCATGGTATTTCCTGGCCCAGAATATTCCCCAGGGTGGAAGAAAGTCCCTCAAGTCAGCATGAGTAAGCCTCAGACCTGAGCATTGGGAAGGAAGATTACATGGGAGATGGGGCTGATGATGGAATTTAAAATTGAGCGGCCAGATTTTATGTTTCCAGACACATGGCAAGGGGACCCAGAGGAAAGTCTCCAGTCCTTTCGAGCATGGGAAACCTATGTAGTGGTGTTGAGCACTCAGGTCTATTAGTAATGTTCTGCTACTGAAAGACGGCAAGCATGTGAATGTCACAGGACACTAATGATCACTAGCCAGGAAGGATGGTTGCGTGGCGTTATGTGATTGCTTACAATTTTTTTTTTCCTTGTGTGAACTCATGCTTCTGAAATTTAGTTTACAATTAAACAGCATCAAGTATTAGTGCTCCTTAGGAACTTATTTTATTAAAAATATCTCTTAAAAATTTTATCCTTCATCTCCTCTCTTCAGAGTAAATAATACAAAATAAATAAAAGCTGTCGGGTTTGCATTTGAAGCTTTAAAATGACCTCTCTCTCTCTTCCCTTCCCCCTCCCTCCCCATGTGTGTGTGAGCGTGCATGCATGCACTCATATGCACATGCACCATTGTGTAAGGCATGGCGGGACCTGGGCAAGTGATTTCTTCACATGTAGTCTGGGGTGGCCCCGTTTGGCACAGGACCTGAGCACACAAGGACTCAAGTTAGAGATCCTACTGGAGGAGGCATGGCTGCAGGCAGGTCACTGCACAGTTCTGTGAGGAGTGCCATGTTCCTGCCCTGGACAGAGTTCTCATCACACCACAGTGAAGACTAAGGTATTTAGAGAATTCAAATGACAGAGAGCCCGGCTTCCAGCAAACAGGAAGCTGGGGGGGCGGGGCTACCTGAAGCCTGCAAAGCAGAGAGGTAGAGGGGCAGGAGAAGGGAGGAGGACTGGGCCTGCCCTCAGACCCTTCCTCTACCTGGCCACCTTTCCATTCCAGGCTGGAACACAAGATCTTTCTAGAAACAACAGCTCTGCCCACTTGTGTTTACTACAGCCGGAGGGATGAGACCTTTGCAAAGCCAAGTCTGTGTGAAGTCTTTGCAGAGTGGGAGCAGCCTTTTACTGCAGTCATTATGTTTCAGCCTGCTCCAGAGGCAGAGAGGGCATGCTGCTCCCAGGAGTTGCACTTCTCCAGGGCTTCCTTCTGCTCCCTGGCTGAGCTCTCAGCTTGATAAGCCTGCAGCCTTGGGCTATGACCCTGCTGTCTGTCCCCTCCTGCTCACAGCTGGCCCGCTTCCTCCAGGAGTCTCCAGGGGGCTGTGTGGCCTTCCAAAGGGTAGCCAGATTCCTGGCACTCCCATTTCAGACCCTAC